GCCAAAAGACGAATTAAAAGAACCACATGCAGCCGGACTGGCTATGCATCTGGCGCCCCAATGGGCCGACGGAAAAGCGCCGTTTGAGGGGCGCTCGGGAAGCAGCGATCGTGTGTCCAAGTTGGGGCGGTTTGCATTATGAGTTTGGCCTATGCAATCGCCATGCGGCGGCCTTGCAGTTAATAGGCATACCAAAAGTTCTATGGAGGAACTCTTCTTTGTGGTGTTTTTTATGTGTGCTGTCATTTTTGGCTTGCTTTTTTCCCCGCTTTCTTTGATGCAGAATAAACATAGCGAACGAAAACAAAAACTCAAAGAAGGAATGCCTACTTTTATCAAGAAAGGGGCAACAGGTAGGATAAATGCGGAACGACTTTATGCTTTTAACAAGACCCTCAAGAAAGAAGCATTGCGCGAGCGAACTTATTGGGAGGTAAGTAAGGACAGTCACCCAATTAACCGCTGGTCATACCGTCGCTGGAAGGAGCGCAATGAAGAACTGGCGATATTCGAGGATAAGCTTGAAAAGGTGCCGATCGACCAAAAGTTCAAGGTGAAGAAGTTGTTGACAGTAGCCAACATATCCGTAGTAGGCCCAATGGTTTTATTCCTGTACTTTGTCTTTTGCTATTGGCGTCACCGTATATGGGGTATTACTCCAATTGATGGCGCAGGTGCTATTGCAAGAGGCGTGCAGAACCTTCCAAGGCCACCCGGATATTAAAGCGTTTTTTCCCCCACAGATGTATGCCTGCTTTTGTTGTGGATACTCCGTGGGTGTGGAAAACTCTCAGTGTTGTGCTGGCATCGAAAAAGAATATTCTTTTTTTGTGAAGCCGACATGACTTAATTTGCTGTGGCTCTTCTTGTATGGGTGGATATGTGGATCTCTGAATGAACATTACTAAGGGTCCTGCACACTCGCATTGAGTTGCTGCTTTGAACACCGCAGTCATTCTTTCACCCGAAAGACACATCTGGGTGTGACATAAATCTGCATTTGCGCCCATGGCTCCCTCTCCTTCCCCAACTGACAAACACTTGTACATTATAAAGATGGTTGACATTAATTTGGAATAGAAAAGTTAAGGTAACAGTGTGGCTCTGCTTTTTTCGCTCATACAGTTGTTGAGGTGAGGAGTGAATTTTCGGAAGTGGTGTGCTAGTCTATACGTTCGGGGTGGAGGAATGATCTTTGCTTTCATCTATACAATACCTTGGTGATGTCGGCCACCTAATCGTGGTACCAAGGTCCTGTACCCCGTATTGTCAGGGAAAGCCAAGCACCAGCAAAGTACTCCAAGTGGCGAGCTTTGCGGTGCCAGGGCTCCAGCGTCGCACAGTACCAGGCCCCAGCCGCGTCTTACTGGGGCGCAGTATTATCTTTATCGGTCTTGGGGTGTGTGTTGCCGCGCTGTCGGCAGCATCACCCGACGTAAGACCCAAAGAAAGACTCACTAAAACTCTCCAGGCGCCCGCGCGAGAGAAGAATCCCCTACCTTGCACGCCACTACCATAAAGCAGGAAAATGATGAAGCAGCATTGCCACATCTTACAAAGCGTACGAGAACAAAGGCCTCTTCCCCGACAGAAGAGCCGATAAAGAACGAAGAAAAAGCCCCCCCCCCCCACCGCACAGGCAGCGGAAGCAAACACAATGCTCGGTGTGTTTGTAATGGTTTGCTTCTATTGATTCAGCCAGGTGGCACTGCAGACGATATCATGAGGGCCACGGGGTTCCAATAACGGTAAAACGCCGGAAGCTTCAAGAGGATGCTCCTGACGACCTGCCTCTTTCTGCCTTTTCGTGACCAACGTGCGGATTCCAGTGCCACAGCAAACATAGACCCACAAGGAACCGCATGATTAGCCACGGATTCAGGCCGGACACCGTGAAATCAAGCCAACGTGGACAGTATAAAGAGATGAGCATGCACTTACTGAGCTGTCCCACATTAAAGAGTCTACGCTGTCACTTTGCAGTGGGCGGGGGCAACGTGGAGAAGTTATGCTTCATGAAGGCGTTTGCCCAATGCCTTCTTGTATTGGAAAGGCTCTGTCCTCAACGGNTTCCCCGTTATAACTGACGTCAGCCATACTGGCCGAGGAGTGGTCCATTCTCCCCTCTAAGCTTCGCCAGTTTATAGATTTTTGTCGAGGTCGCCGTCGAAACGTGCCTCCTCTCTGTGTTGTTTTATCCAGAAAGGGGCTAGTAAGCCTACGGGATCCCGGATGAGGGGAATCGGCTGTCTGATTCCGTACGTGTGCGTCTCCTCACTGGACCGGCTCAACAGATCGTACAACAAAATAACAAAAATAAAACAAACCCCCAAAACAATAGAATACACAACAAAAAAAGGGACCCCCTTCCACGCAGAAATTAAGCAATAAACGTGCCCTACGATGATGGCTGATGGTGCGAAGCCATCGACGAGAGTCGTGAAGACACGATGAAAAAAAAACAAGTTTAACATGGACATGGCCGAGCCTATGAGTTGGGGCAGGAGCGCCGGATGCGGCTTCCTCCAGAAAAAGTGCATGAAGAGGAACATGACCGAATATCCCCGGATGTTCTGCAACGCCCCCGTCGACGCCCTGCGCTGCACGTCTGACCGCTTGGCCCTGGGGGACTGCGGGCTGCATCGGTACTGGGAGCCTCTCGAGGAGGTATACAGGTACTTCGACACNGATGTTCTGCAACGCCCCCGTCGACGCCCTGCGCTGCACGTCTGACCGCTTGGCCCTGGGGGACTGCGGGCTGCATCGGTACTGGGAGCCTCTCGAGGAGGTATACAGGTACTTCGACACGTCTACGCTGGGTGGCCGCAAAGACGCAAGGACGGATTACTGCCCCGTCATCACGCCGACCGCCGACACGGTTTGCGCAGGTGGGAAGAGGAAACTGATGCCAGGGAGTCTCTTGGGCCCGAGGTCGCGGTGCCTGAATGGTAAATCCATTGTGCTGAAGGAAACGCGTGCTGGCTCTCCGCCTGTTGGTGATGTGTGCGCCGAGGTGAGGTGCGCTGGCGGTGCCGTGCAGGTGAAGTACCTGGGCAGTGAGAAATGGCACAAGTGCAACGAAAAAGGTTGGATTGATCTGTCTGGATCGTCTGCGTTCCAGCGTGGTCAGATTGTTTGCCCCCGATACGATGAGGTCTGCACGGAGGCTCAGACGACTCGTAAAGCCACCAAGCGTCAAGCTCCCACCCGCACGGGGAAAGGGAATGTGGTAGTCAGGCGATGAGCGTGTGGGATGTACCACTTTGAGGATCGCTTGAGGAAGCTTGAGCAGTGAGCGCTGAAGTAAGAACCGTTCTGGAAACGTGGGCCACCGCTGGAAACTGGATGATGATGATGATGGTGGTGGAGCCAGTTCCGCAGCTGCTTGATACACGTCGTTATAATTCTTGGGCCGCCGTGCACACAGCTTTATATACGTACATGCCCTTTTATATACACTCTGCTGGGCGTTCCTGTGACACGATCTTTTCGGGTATCTGGACCTACGCCTTTCTTGGGCTTTTTAAAAAGAAAATTTAACTGTTTTGGCAAACCCTATTGGGGACGCAGTCATGGCTGCACTTTTTTTTGTTTTCTACTTTTCTTTGTTTCTGCTTTCTGCTTTTTGTTTTCTACTTTTTTTTGTTTCTGCTTTCTGCTTTTCGTTTTCTACTTTTTTTTTTTTCTCCGTCGCCGTGTGTGTGCCGTTTGGCGACAGTTGTCCCGTTGTGTGTGGGGCACGGAGTCTGAAATTTCTTGCTTTACGTCCAATG